AGTGGCACTTTTTTGGTTCTCTTACTCTGTTTTTTAATTTAGGATATGCATTTAAGTTGAGCCTCTATTATGGTGTCTTTAAAAAGTTTCCATGCAGCTTGGAAAGATTTCACTTTTGGCACCGTACCTTTTAATTTCTGAAAAAGCAACAAGGAGTACTTGTGGCACCTTAGAGACTAACAAATTTATTTGGGCATAAGCTTTTGTGAACTAAAACCCACTTCATCAGATGCACGGAGTGGAAAATACAGTAGGAAGTTATATATACAGAGTACATGAAGAGATGGGGGTTGCCTTACCAATTCTAAAGAGACAATTCAGTTAAAGTGGGCTATTATCAGCAGGAGGAAAAAATCACTTTTGTAGTGGTAATCCGGGTGGACCATTTCAAACAGTTGACAGGTGAATAACAGTAGGGGGGAAATTAGCATGGGGAAATAGTTTTTAGTTTGTGTAATGACCCATCCACTCCCAGTCTTTATTCAGGCCTAATTTGATGGTGTCCAGTTTGCAAATTAATTCCAGTTCTGCAGTTTCTCGTTAGAGTCTGTTTTTGAAGAAAACGAGAAACTGGACCAGCTCCACTTAGGACTAAATCAAGAATTGCCTCTCCTCTTGTAAAAAGAAAAGGAGTACTTGTGGCACCTTAGAGACTAACGAATTTATTTGAGCATAAGCTTTTGTAAGCTACATTCAGTGGAAATGAATGCATCCGATGAAGTGAGCTGTAGCTCACGAAAGCTTATGCTCAAATAAATTTGTTAGTCTCTAAGGTGCCACAAGTCCTCCCTTTCTTTTTGCGAATACAAACTAACACGGCTGCTACTCTGAAACCTCTCCTCTTGTGGGTTCCAAGACTAGCTGCTCCAAGAAGCAGTCATTTAAGGTGTCAAGAAACTTTATCTCTGCATCCCGTCCTGAGATAACATGTACCCAGTCAATATGGGGATAGTTGAAATCCCCCATTATTATTAATAGAGTTATTTTTATTATGATAGCCTCTCTAATCTCCCTGAGTATTTTGCAGTCCTATCACCATCCTGATCAGGCGGTCAGTAGTATATCCCTACTGCTATATTCTTATTATTTGATTATGGAATTGGTATCCATAGAGATTCTATGGCACAGTTTCGTTCATTTAAGATTTTTAAATCATTTGATTCCATGCTTTCTTTCACATATAGTGCTACTCCATCAGCACAACCTGTTCTGCCCTTCCGATATATTTTGTACCCAGGTATTACTGTGTCCCATTGATTATCCTAATTCCACCAAGTTTCTGCAATGCCTATTATATCTATACCCTCACTTAATATGAAGCACTCTAGTTCACGCATCTTATTACTTAGACTTCTAGCATTTGTATATAAGCACTTTAAAAAATTGTCATAGAATCATAGAATATCAGAATTGGAAGGGACCTCAGGAGGTCATCTAGTCCAACCCCCTGCTCAAAGCAGGACCAATCCCCAACTAAATCATCCCAGCCAGGGCTTTCTCAAGCCTGACCTTAAAAATATCTAAGGAAGGAGATTCCACCACCTCCCTAGGTAACCCATTCCAGTGTTTTACCACCCTCCTAATAAAAAAGTTTTTCCTAATATCCAACCTAAACCTCCCCCACTGCAACTTGAGACCATTACTCCTCAGTGGTAGCTGATGACAGAACAAGAACAGGCTAGATCCATCCTCTTTGGAACCCCCTTTCAGGTAGTTGAAAGCAGCTATCAAATCCCCCCTCATACTTCTTTTCCGCAGACTAAACAATCCCAGTTCCCTCAGTCTCTCCTCATAAGCCATGTGTTCCAGTCCCCTAATCATTTTTGTTGCCCTCCACTGGACTCTTTCCAACTTTTCCACATCTTTCTTGTAGTGTGGGACCCAAAACTGGACACAGTACTCCAGATGAGGCCTCACCAATGTTGAATAGACGGGAACGATCACGTCCCTCAATCTGCTGGCAATGCCCCTACGTATACATCCCAAAATGCCATTGGCCTTCTTGGCAACAAGGGCACACTGTTGACTCATATCCAGCTTCTTGTCCACTGTAACCCCTAGGTCCTTTTCTGCAGAACTGCTGCTGAGCCATTCGGTCCCTAGTCTGTAGCGGTGCATGGGGTTCTTCTGTCCTAAGTGCAGGACTCTGCACTTGTCCTTGTTGAACCTCAGCAGATTTCTTTTGGCTCAATCCTCTAATTTGTCTAGGGCCCTCTGTATCCTATCCCTACCCTCCAGGGTATCTACCTCTCCTCCCAGTTTAGTGTCATCTGCAAACTTGCTGAGGGTGCAATCCACACCATCCTCCAGATCATTTACGAAGATATTGAACAAAACCGGCCCGAGAACCGATCCTTGGGGCACTCCACTTGATACCGGCTGCCAACTAGACATGAAGCCATTGATTACTACCCGTTGAGCCTGACAATCTAGCCAACTTTCTATCCACCTGACAGTCCATTCATCTTCTTTAACTTGCTGGCAAGAATACTGTGGGAGACCGTGTCAAAAGCTTTGCTAAAGTCAAGGAACAACACGTCCACTGCTTTCCCCTCATCCACAGACCCAGTTATCTCGTCATAGAAGGCAATTAGATTAGTCAGGCATGACTTGCCCTTGGTGAATCCATGCTGACTGTTCCTGATCATTTTCCTCTCCTTTAAGTGCTTCAGAATTGATTCCTTGAGGATCTGCTCCATGATTTTTCCAGGGACTGTGGTGAGGCTGACTGGCCTGTAGTTCCCAGTTTTCAGTTGTCTGCCATTACATAATGTAACTGAATGGGACTCTTTCATTTGACTGTTTCTCATCAGATCCTACCTGTGTTTTATCACATTCCATCCTCTCCTCCTTACTAGGAGGCTGAGAAACTCCATTAATAGCTTCTCCCCTAAGGGATGTCTCTGTCCAAATCACATGCTCCTCGCTCCTCTGCCCCTGTCGGCTTTCCCCCAGCCCTTAATTTAAAAACTGCTCTACAACCTTTTTAATTTTAAGAGCAAGCAATCTGGTTTCATTTTGGTTTAGGTGGAGCCCATCCTTCTCATATAGGCTCCCCCTTTCCCAAAAGGTGCCCTAGTTCCTAATAAATCTAAACGCATCCTCCCTACACCATCATCTCATCCCTGCATTGAGACCCTGCAGCTCTGCCTGTCTAGCTGCCCTGCGCATGGAACTGGAAGCATTTCAGAGAACATTACCATGGAGGTCCTGGAATTCAATCTCCAGGACTTCTCCCCTATCCTTCCCTATGTCATTGGTACGCACACCGTTGGTACTCCCCAACACTACACACAAGCCTATCTAGATGTCTCAAGAGATCCATAACGTTCACATCAGGCAGGCAAGTCACTATGCGGTTCTCCCAGTCATCAGAAATGCAGCTATGTTTCTAATGACTGAATCCCCCTATCACCTGTCTCTTCCTAATAACTGGAGTTCCCTCCCCCAGAGAGGTATGCTCAGTGCAAGAGGATACCATGACATTATCTGGAAGGAGGGCCCCAACCACAGGATCATTTCCCTCTGCTCCAGTTGAACGTTCTCCTTCCCTGAGACTGTCATCCTCCTCAACAGCACAGAGGCTGTCAGACCAGGGGTGGGACTATTCTACAGTGTCCTGGAAAGTCTTATCTATGTACCTCTCTGTCTCCCTGAACTCCTCCAGCGCAGCCACTCTGGTCTCCAAAGGGCCAAGAACTCCTTGCACCGAATGCACACATCCAGTTTTTCTACATCCTTTCTATACATTGGTTGAGAAAAATTGGACACAGTACTCCAGCTGAGGCCTAACCAGCGCCAAGTAGAGCAGAAGCATCACCTGTTAAAGCAATCTAAAATTGCATTTGCTTTTTTTGCAATAGCATCCCATTGTTGACTCATGTGAGGTAGTGATCAGTGCTGCTGCCAAGCCAGTTTTTCCCAGTATTCGTGCATTTGGTTTTTCTTCCTTAAGTGTAGCACCTTACATTTGTCTTTGTTGAATTTCATTTGGTTGTCTATAGCAGTGGTTCTCAACCCGGGGTACATGTATCCCTGGAGGTACTCAGAGGTCTTGCAGGGGGTTCTCAACTCATCTACATCACTGTTTCTCAATGTAGGGGTTGCAGCCCCCAGGGGGGTCATCGGACAGGCTGCAAGTGCAGGGCCGGCAGTAGGGGGCAGCAAGCAGGGCAATTGCTCAGGGCCCCATGCTACAGTGGGCCCCACGTCGTGAGACTCAGGCTTCAAACAAGGCTTGCAAGTGAAAAAACAAGCTCAAGCATCACCCTGAAATGCAAGTATAATATTTATATTCCAATCTATTTATATGCTATTTATATGCTAATTATATGGTAAAAATGAGAAAGTAAGCAATGTTTCAGTAATAGTGTGCTGTGACACTTCTGTATTTTTATGTCTGATTTTGTAAGCAAGTATTTTTTTAAGTGAGCTGAAACCTGGCAGTATGCAAGACAAATCAGACTCCCTAAAGGAGTACAGTAGCCTGGAAAGGTTGAGAACCACTGATGCATCCGATGAAGTGATCTGTAGCTCACGAAAGCTCATGCTCAAATAAATTGGTTAGTCTCTAAGGTGCCACAAGTCCTCCTTTTCTTTTTGATCTATAGCCCAGTTCTCCAATTTATCCCTGACTTTTAGCTCTATCGTCCAAAGTATTGGCAACACCACCACCACCTTTGTGTCATCTGCAAACCTGATCAGTACGCTCTGGACCCCTCCCTCCGACTCATTAATACAAACGTTACCGCCCCCGGACCCAGAACAGAGCCGGGCTGAACCTCACTTGAGACCTCCCTCCAATCACCCTAGTCCTAGCGCCGCTTTGCCGGCAACTGCTTCACCGCTGAGGTATCCGCTGGAGGGGGCCCTCTGGAGCCATCAGTCCCCCAGCTCACGTCTCAGCGCGCCAGGGGTCGCGCCCAAGCACCCCCCGCTGTCTCTGGACCGGACCCCCCGAAATCATGCTGTGAGACTGGCGAACGCTGAGGCTGCCGCACCGACGCCTGTGGAACAGCGGAGCCGTCAGGGCTCCCGCTAGGCTCCAGCCTACCCTCCGGCCCGCCCGCCTCACGCGGCACTGCAGGGCCTTCTCCCGCCAGGCCTCCGATGGCCCCGTCCGCTGGGGCGGGACACGCCTTCCCTGCCCGCCGCGGCCCAACCCCCGGCTCCGCCCGGCCGCGGGAGCGGCCCACGGGCCCGGCATGGCGCTGCCCAGCGGCCCCGAACCGGCGCGGCCCCGCGCTCAGCGGCCCGGGAGAGGCGCGCGGCAGGCAGGGACCCGCCAGGGGCCGCTCACCAAGGCTCGCGCGCGTACTCCTCCATCTTGGGTCAGCCGGGCCGGCACGCTCCCCGCAAGGCCCGAGCCGGCGACCGAACGGGTCACGTGACTGACCGCAGAACGTTCCACGTTCGCTCGCGACCCTGAGGCAATGCGGTTGGCTCCAGCCTGGGCGAGCTGGCCAATGGGGTTCCAGGAGGGCGGGCCGGGCGCGCTGTCATTCGCAGTGGGCGGTATCCTTCCTTTGACTCCAAACCGCCTGATCCCCGCTGAGGCTGCCCGAGCCTGTAGGGGGCAGCCGTGATGATCGGCCCTGGCGGGGTGCTGCCCTGCTGCCCCTCCCCCCGCACACATGCACCCTGCGAGCCCAGGCTGGGGGGTTCTCTGTGGTGCCCCTCCCCCCCGTCTGAGCCCAGGCTGGGGGGTTCTCTGTGGTGCCCCTCCCCCCCCGTCTGAGCCCAGGCTGGGGGGTTCTCTGTGGTGCCCCTCCCCCCTCGTCTGAGCCCAGGCTGGGGGGTTCTCTGTGGTCCCCCCCCCCTGTCTGCCCACTGTTCTTGTGCCCCTCCCCCCCGTCACCACTGGGTTTTCCCCCCCCCCTAGCCACTGGTTTTGTGCCCCTCCCCCCGTCTAGCCCACTGGGGTTTTGTGCCCCCCCCCTCTCGCCCAGGTGGGGTTTTTTGCCTCCCCTCTAGCCACTGGGGGTTTGGTGCCCCCCCCCCGTTGAGCCACTGGGGTTCCCCCCCCTCCAGTGGTTCCCCCCCCCGTTACATGGTTTTTGTCCCCCCCCCTCTCTAAGGTTCCCCCCCCTCGGTCCCCCCCCCGACCACCCCCCCCTCGGGGGTTCCCCCCCCCCGGGCCCCCCCCCGCGGGGCCCCCCCCCGGGGCCCCCCCCCCGCGGGGCCCCCCCCCCCGGGGGCCCCCCCCCCCGGGGGCCCCCCCCCCGCGGGGGGCCCCCCCCCCCGGGGCCCCCCCCGCCCGGGGGCCCCCCCCCCGCCGGGGGCCCCCCCCCCCGGGGGGGGTTTGCCCCCCCCCCCGGGGCCCCCCCCCCCGCGCCCCCCCCCCCGCCCGGGCCCCCCCCCCCGCCGCCCCCCCCCCCGCGGGCCCCCCCCCCCCGGGGGCCCCCCCCCGCGGGGGCCCCCCCCCTCCGGCCCCCCCCCCCGGGGGGCCCCCCCCCCGCGGGGCCCCCCCCCGCGGGGGCCCCCCCCGGGGGGGCCCCCCCCCCGGGGGGGCCCCCCCCGGGGGGCCCCCCCCCGGGCCCCCCCCCCGGCCCCCCCCCCCGCGGGCCCCCCCCGGGGGGCCCCCCCCCGCGGCCCCCCCCCGGGGGCCCGGCCCCCCCCCCGGGGGCCCCCCCCCGGGGGCCCCCCCCCCGGGCCCCCCCCCCGGCCCCCCCGGGGGGCCCCCCCCCCCCGGGGGCCCCCCCGCGCGGGGGTTCTCTGGGCCCCCCTCCCGCTGCGGGTGGGGGTTGTGGTGCCCCTCCCTCCCTCGTCTGGCCCAGGCTGGGGTTCTGTGGTGCCCCTCCCCCCGTCTGAGCCCAGGCTGGGGGGTTCTCTGTGGTGCCCCCCTCCCGCTGAGCCCAGGGTGGGGGGTTCTCTGTGGTGCCCCTCCCCCCTCTCTGAGCCCGCTGGGGGTTTGTGGTGCCCTCCCCCCTCGTCTGAGCCCGGCTGGGGTTCTTGTGGCCCCCCCCTCGTCTGAGCCCGCTGGGGGTTCCTGTGGGCCCCTCCCCCCGTCTGAGCCCCTGGGGTCTGGCCCTCCCCCCCGCGGCGGGGGCTCTGTGGGCCCCTCCCCCCTGTCTGAGCCCAGGCTGGGGGTTTCTGTGGTGCCCCTCCCCCCGTCTGAGCCCAGGCTGGTGGGTTCTCTGTGGTGCCCCTCCCCCCGTCTGAGCCCAGGCTGGGGGGTTCTCTGTGGTGCCCCTCCCCCCTCGTCTGAGCCCAGGCTGGTGGGTTCTCTGTGGTGCCCCTCCCCCCTCGTCTGAGCCCAGGCTGGGGGGTTCTCTGTGGTGCCCCTCCCCCCCGTCTGAGCCCAGGGTGGGGGGTTCTCTGTGGTGCCCCTCCCCCACGTCTGAGCCCAGGGTGGGGGGTTCTCTGTGGTGCCCCTCCCCCCGTCTGAGCCCAGGGTGGTGGGTTCTCTGTGGTGCCCCTCCCCCCTCGTCTGAGCCCAGGGTGGTGGGTTCTCTGTGGTGCCCCTCCCCCCCGTCTGAGCCCAGGGTGGTGGGGTGGGGGCCCCCCCCCGTCTGAGCCCAGGGTGGTGGGCTCTCTGTGGTGCCCCTCCCCCCAGTCTGAGCCCAGGGTGGTGGGTTCTCTGTGGTGCCCCCCCACTCCCGGCTGAATCACAGAGCAGGAGGTGGCTGTGATTCCTCTCCTAGAGGCAGAAACGTGGGCTGCTAATGGACTTTTGTGAAAACCGTAGGAGCTGACTGGAGTTCTATGGATCACAGAGGAGCCAAAACTGGGACAGAGGCACCTAAGGACTTTTGTGGCTCCCACCCCTTATCCTGGCAGCTTCCCCTAACGAAGCAGCCAAAGAGTACTCAGACATTCCTCCTGTTGTAATTGGGGCAACAGAGAGTGATTCTGGCCTAGCATCATCAGAAGCAGCACTTATCAACGTGCTTTGTGTGCCTGGGGATCAGATAACTCAGTGGTTTTCAACCTTTTTTCATTTGTGCACCCCTAAAAAATTTCACATGGTGGTGCAGACCCCTTTGGAAATCTTAGACAGTTTTTGGACCCCAGGGAGCCACAGACTAAAGGGTGAAAACCGCTGTTCTGTGGTAATGACAATATTTTGTGGACCTCTTAGACATAGTTTTCAGACCTCCAGGGGACTGCAGAACACAAATTGAAAACTATTGAGGGAATAGATCCCCCTGAGGACTGACTTTTCCGTGCAAGCAAAGCAATCAACTGCTAAAGGAAATAATTGACTGAGACAATGGGGGGGAAGCCCTCTTTTTCTTCTTTATATTGCTGTTTACAGAGGTGTTAAAAGACGTTCTTGTGCATGTAAAGATTTATTCTTATAACTGAATGCAGCAAGTTCATATTTGTGTTCATTTAGAAGAGGATAGTAGCTTTATTTCAAATGTATTGTGCTGCAATAATGAAGGCTGCCAGAAGATGGTGCTGTGGTTACATTTAGGCAGGACCCTGGGGAAAAAAAGAGGGGAAGGGTAGAGTGTGTGAGGGGAAAACCATGTTCAGTTCAAAGCTGCAGCCTAGCTGTGTAGCCTTTACTTTTGCTAAAGCGTGGAACATCTTTCCAACATAGAGTTCATTTCTTGTATTAATACATATGGCTACACAATCAGCTGATCCACCCAATGCCAATCACTTGGGAGCTATGGGAATGCCATGGTGACAATGGGATTCGGGTTCTCAGACAGCTCTTACCCTTTTCTCTAATAAATGGTGGACTGACTAGGGCAAATTAAATGCTAAGGGAACAAGCAAATCCATAAACCTCAGCCCTTGGGGAGAGTTCTCAGGAGGGCTTCCAACATCTCAGGTGCAACTGTTTTTGGTTGTCACTGCCCAAGTGCCATAACTGCAGTGACTATAGCCATGAAAGTGTAAGGGGACTGTTGGCCCTTTACTAAAACTCAGTGGTGTTTTTTTGGCTGCTAGCTCCCAGTACCAAAAGAAAGGGGAAGGGTCAATGGGAAATCAGGACCCTGAGATTGATAGTCCCCAGGAACAATGGAGAGAGGCCAATGCTCCAGGTCAGCCTGATTGACAGGGCAGGCAAACCAATGAGGGAGTCAGGAGCCTGGGATCCCATCTTCCAGGAGTGCTGGAGCTGCCTCAGGCAGTGCAGGGATGAGCTGAGCTGAGAGCAGAGCTGCAACAACAAAAGCAGCCCAGGGAGCAGATCTGTGCTGGGAGGAGAACTACAGAAACCAGAGCTAGAGGGGCCAGAAAAAGCAGTCTAGAGAGCTGGAGGCAGAGTAGCAGTGCTGAGGCAGGGTGGAGCTGGAGTTGAGACTGGGGCTGTCCGGAGCTGGGTGTGGTGAACAGCTGGGCAGAGCGAGGGGGGACCCTGGGCAGCGGGCCCAGCTCAGGGAGATGCCACCAGCCAAGAGGCCTTGAAGGCCAGACTTGGAGGGGGATCGTAACCCCAGTGGGGTGGGGGCGATGCTGGGAAGAAGGATCCTGCCACCTAGAGCCTGAGGGCATGCAAGTGTCTGACCCACAGCATCCCTGCAGCACAGCCAGGGCCTGGGCAGGAGGACTGGGACATGTGAGGAACAGACTGAACTTCCCTTACTTCCCAGAGAGGCTGGTTGTGACGTCCCCGTGCCACAGAGCGGGGTGACGGGTTTTCCTTTAACCTTTCCCATTTTTCCTTATTTTTTTAAAATTGATTGCTGTTAAATAAATTGTATTTGCTTTGAACTATATGCAATGATCAGTGGGTCAGGGAAGTGTCCAGACCAGAGAGAGCATCCTGAAGTAGGGACACCCTAGCCCCTACCATAAGTGACCATGACAAAGTTGGGGGTTGAGCCCCCAGGAATCCTGGGCCCAGCTTTGTTGGGGTTACGAGGACTCTGCCACACAGGAGAGTGGAAGGGAGCCCATTTCACAGGGATAGTGTATAAGCCAGGAAAGTTCCACACAAACAATAGTGGGACTATTCCCCCACTTACAAAAGTGACATCAGATAGGTTCGTTGGGGAATAGTACGCTGAGTGGTGTCTAGCAAGCTGCTGAGAAGACATTTCTGAATCTGTGAGCCCCAACATTATCAGAATCCCCTTCCAGTAAGGGATTGATTATTTTCTTGATTTAAAACAACCCCCCAAATTTAAATTATTAGATGTAATTTTTTTCCCCAAATGGAAGTGAGACATCAGGCATATGGGGGAAGACAGGAATGAAGAGGATTCAGGGCAGGCAGCCTCAGCCAAAAAATGTTTTAATTTCCCATCATCAGTAAATAGG